ATGCCTTATCGTTTGCAAGAACAATGAATTTATTCATCTTGTCCAAAATTTCCCAGCCCACGAAACATCAGCTCCCCAAATCTCGTTCCCAAATCTTGCAGCGGGCACGTTCCCTGAGCTGGGAGCAGGGGGAGACCTGTCAGTCTCTGTGAACAGCCAGACTCCCTCTTTTCTGCAAGAACTTCTGGGTTAAACGATTCCTGAAGCAAATTTAACCCTTATGGAAGCCGAGTTTATAATGGAAATGTTCAACTGGGACGCCACCAACGCCAGGTTGGCCCAGACTAAGGGGGGCCCTGCTCTGGTTCTGGATAATTTTGGATATAAGGACATGAATCTCTGATCCTTGATCGGTTCTGATGCAAAGACATGAGACAAGCACAGATGTATCTGATCCACAGTGAAGGGAAAAATCCCCCAGACTGAAAAACAGAGAAAATTTAAGAGAACCTGAATTTGGGAATTTAGGAACCATCTCGTGGGCCTGGAGGCATGGAGGGACAGGACACAGGGAATGGCTTCCCACTGCCAAAGGGCAGGGATAGATGGGATATTGGGAAGGAATTGCTGGCTGGGAGGGTGGGGAGACCCTGGAATGAATTTCCCAGAGGAGCTGTGGCTGCCCCTGGATCCCTGGAAGTGTCCAAGGCCAGGCTGGATGGGGCTTGGAGCAACCTGGGAGAGTGGAAGGTGTCCCTGCTGTGGATTCGCTGCATCCTGTGTGGTCTCATTTTCCTTTGACTATTCCATGGCTTAACCTTGGGTTAAAAAAAATCCCTGTATTCCTCCAGTCCAGAGGGTTCCCAGGATATTGGAACGCTGGGATCAGCCAGAGGGTCCTGCCCACTCACGATCTCAGTCCGGCTCATGTGAGACACAACAGGCTCTGTCTGCAACACTGAGGGTCTTCCCATGGGGAAGGGAAGATGTCCCTTGCACAATTCCCAAACAAAAGGTGGAGGTTGGTGGCACCCAAGGAAGACATTGCCCAGGGAGAGCCAAGAGAGCTCTCTGGGATCGCTGCTCCAGCTGCCACAACTTTGGGATCGGGAATCTATTCCTCTCACTTAGAGGACTGCAACTCCCTCCCAGAGCCAGGAATGCCAGACATGAGGAATCCTGGCCACGCTTCCCACCTGCTGATGGTGTCCTGAGAGCCAAACTCCTCCTCCCCACAGGAAAGTGCCTGGAATTTGCTGGTTTGTCCCTCGAAGACGTCGAGGGGCTGTTTTTGGGAGGGGCGATGCCCTCCCTTAGAACTTCCCCACAAAGGAGCACCAGGGAGCCCAACCACTTCACAAGGACACCTGACCAGTGTGTTTTGGGGGCAGGAGGGAAAAAAAAAGGGACAGCAGTGGTGGAGTTTGTCCCGCTGGACTCGACACCAGCACAGAAGAAAAGTCGCTGCGAACGAGAAGAATCCGGCTGAGCTTTGTAGTTCTCTGGATGTCGTTTACTACAAAGGGAAGGGCTGGCACCGCCTGGGCACGCTGGGGAGCTGCTCACTGTGAAGTGCTGAGCCTCCTTCAGCAGCTGGACACTCAGTAAAACCCCGATTTGAGGCTTCTCCCGGCTCGTTTTTTCCAGCTGTTCCCACTCCCTCCACCTCTGGGAGGCATCTGTGCCCCCAGTGGGACAAGTCCGGGCTGTAACATCTCCAAACTGGACAATGCTCAGGGAGTTTGTGCTCTGGAGCTGCCAGAGGCTCTCTCAAGCTACTCCAAAGGGGCAGAATCATCTCCGCTGGAATGAACAGTGGGAGCCAAAACCCTTCTGCTTGTTCTTGCCTTTCAAAGCTCCTCCTGGAAATTCCGCCGTGGGGATGAAGGGATTTGCTCCATGTGGATGAGGAATAACGGATCACCAGAACAGCTCACCCAGCCTAGGTGGAGAACTCCACACCAGAGCCCCCTGATAAACTTCCTAGAGGGAAAAATTTATATTTACCCCCATTTTTTCCAGCCTGTGAACCAGGATCAGGAGCTCTCCTGCCTAAACTTAACTCAGGACCACCCAGGACCATCCTGTTTTGCATCCCGAGGTTTTCTTGGTAGCAGAGAAGTAGAAGCCTCAGCAATCCCTGGTGGGCAGAACACAGCCAAGGGCACGTGTCCAGCTCTGTCCCTCTGCCCCACAAAGCACTCCAGAACACGGAGGTTGTGCAGAAAATGAGACACCTGCACTCGGGACACTTAATATTAATAATTTTAAGCATTAAGGATCAACTCTGATACCCAAATTCTGAATTAGTGATATTCCTGCACAAATCAGGCAATCAGAAGGAGAAAGGGCTCCCACCAAAAGGTAAAAAGTGAGGAATGAATCCAGCAACCATGAAAAGTGAGAAGTTGCTTTTCCCCTTTCCTTAGCAAAGTGACTTTTCCTTGACACACCAGTTTTCTGGCTTTGGCCCCTCACATTGTCTGCCCAAATCTTCTGAGGGGGTGGAGGGTGAGCAGCAAATGACTGGGGGCTTCACCACAGACTGGGGTCAAAGCACCACACACAGCCCTCCTTCAGATTTGGAATCACAGAATCCTTAGGGTTGGAAAAGCCCTCTGAGATCATCCAGTCCAACCACTCCCCAGCTCTGCCAAGGCCACCACTGACCCCTGTCCCCCAGTGCCACATCCACAGGGATTTTAAATCCCTCCAGGGATGGAGACTCCAACACTGCCCTGGGCAGCTGTGCCAGGGCTGGACAAC